AATATTCGGGACAGCCCTATAGCTGGCACAATGTGTTTGCCATTGAAGGGGGCTTGTACAGTGATCGGTGATCACGCGCCCTGATTCGTCTACATGTATAGGAGGAAATACCGGGGGTTCTCGATCTTGGCTGTGTCTCATCGTCGACAAAAAGTGGCATCTGAAAATACACTGCCACAACTTTACGATTAAAATTACATCACAGTTGTGTACGTGCATAGTTTTTTTTCTTTCGAATATTCGAACCGGTAAAAAGCTATTGGAACATTCGGTGGATGATCGAATATTCGAATATTCGGGACAGCCCTATAGCTGGCACAATGCATTTGCCATTGGAGTAGGCTTGTACAGTGATCAGTGATCACGCACCCTGATTCGTCTATAGGAGGAAATACCAGGGGTTCTCGACCTTGACTGTGTCTCATCGTCGACAAAAAGTGGCATCTGAAAATACACTGCCACAACTTTACGATTAAAATTACATCACATTTGTGTACGTGCATAGTTTTTTTCTTTCGAATATTCGAACCGGTAAAAAGCTATTGGAATATTTGGTGGATGATCGAATATGCGAATATTCGGGACAGCCCTATAGCTGGCATGCACAATGTGTTTGCCATTGAAGGGAGCTTGTAGCCTACAGTGTACAGTGATCATGTGCCCTGATTCGTCTATACATGCTATAGGAGGAAATACCAGGGGTTCTCCAAGCCTTGGCTGTGTCTCGAGCGTCCGGCTCAAGAGATTCTCAAAATCCAAGGCACCTGAATTGGAGGGCTCACTCTCATTATACAACTCCATTCTGCTTTGCAAACATCAAATTTTGTAATATGAGGTTTAGAGTCATTTTGATTAGTTTTGGACATTAAAGTTTCTGACATTAAATTGATTTTGGAGTCTGAGACGGAGTCAAAGCCGCAGATCATCAGCCGCAAATTGGAAACGCCAAAGTCGGTGTATCACTGGCACATCCCATTTGTAATTGCGGCGTGGCAGTTGCGGTATTGTGTCAAACAGGCGCGGCATTAATGCTGGGGGGGGGGGGTAGGGGGGTAGGAAACCTGAACAGATGGCACGCTGAATTATGGCTGATGGGATATTGAATCTTCTCCGATTTCATGAAATAGTCCGTTCGGTCCGATGTCAAACACATAAAAAATCCCAGCAAGCTCTACATGTACGTACCACATGCACATTATAATGCAAGGATGCTTGTGAACTTGCTGAAAAACAACGTGTGTGTTTTTTGTTTTTTTCAATCGGGTACCCAGTTTTCATACTATGAGAAACTGCTACATGCCAGAAATAAACTGATAGTAAATAATGCGTAGACACCACCAAAACGTTTTTGGTTTTTGATAACTTTAATTGCCCTACAATGTTTTCCTGGGCTAAGCAACACTGTGACAGCAGCCTATTAAAGTAATTATCCCCTGGCATTTACATGTAAGCAGGTTATCAATCAATGAGGTAGCGAGATAATAATAGTAGATAATTTACTGGGGCATTAAAAGTGCTCTTATCATAAACTCCCTTCTTAGTTGTCCTTGATTGATTTTTTTTAAAGGAAACTCAAACTTGAAAATATAATTAATCAAAAAATGTGACCTGGTCAAGGAAAATGGGACAGAGGCTGACTCTATAACTCCATTGGAGGTTTTGAGGACAGGACAGGACATTAAGATTTATTCACCTGCAAATTGATGCTTTGATTTTTGATTTCAATTTGATGCTTTTAATATACATGTACATGTAAGTCAGGATGATATGGAAGAAATGAGGCCCTTAATAGAATTACCGAGAGCTTATTTTTGGCTGGGAATTCGGATTTAATGGGCCGGCTATGTGACCCATTTCTTCGATGGGGTCACTAAATGTAAAGTACGTTGTCACTTGTTGGTTAATGTATCAATATTTCAGCCTAGATATTCTCGCATTTGAATGCATGTGATCTTCTTTAGTACAAAACTGGTGTTTGCTGATTAGCAAGAGTTAATGCAAAATCAAACAACACAATGTCCGCGTTATACATTACCACCGGAAGACAAGTATCACGGATCATGCAGATTTCATACTGTCAGCAGGCATTCCATACTGTCACTCTGAAACTTGTTTGCTCTTAAATCAACTCATGAATGTCAATTGACTATTAATTCGCTCTAATCTGTGTGTAAATGAACTGTAGTTCCTCTGGTTATCTGAATTTAAATTAACAAATTAAGTGCATTGGGAAAATAGTTGTTTGATTTGATGGTGCTTGTGGAAAAAAGTCCCATACAATCCAAAAGGGCTGTTGTCTGTGCCTAACCGGAAGATTTACAACATCAGATTGTGGTTTAACCATCTGCTATCTGAACAGTCAAAGACAGTCAAAACAGCAATCCTCTTTCCAGCTGCCATGCCTTTTACACAGGCTAGTCACCAACAGTCAGATCAAATTTCAAGCAAGCACTGCGACTAGTCAAACTCAGTCAACAGACAAAAACAGGCCAGTGGTAGGCACAGCTGACTTAATCAATCACCTACAGTCAAAGCATAGCTGTGTCAAGCTACATTTACAGTCACAGCCTGTCAATCCTGCTTTATGTAGGGTGGGAGCTCTTAACTCTTGAAAACTTGTTTGATCTCAACCCAGAATACAAGTTTATAATGCCTCATTCCAAATTGTCAGAAACATCATGAACCATCCCGGTGCGGAGAAAAACACATTGAAGTGGCCTCACCTCCAGGAAACCATTGCATTTTCAAATACTAGAGGGCGTTGTCTAATAGAAACAACCTTTGGTCCATGACCCAGTGACCCACAAATCCAAACATCCTCAAGATGAGCAGCTGGACTTGCTATTATCTTAAGGAATGTACAATAGACCTTTAACACAATTTGAGTGCCCTGTCCTTGCTCTACATAATACTAAAGGAATAAATACCGGTACATATACTTGGCAGGTTTTAAACAAGCAAATGTACATTTAAAAAGGGCTTCGACTTGTCCATTATCTGCAACCAAGCTCCTAGCCGGTCATAAACGTACTTGTTTAATACCAGTCAATACATGTACATGTACCAGTATTTACTCCCATTCATATACCTGTCGATCAAAAATCAAAACAAGTCAAAATTCACAAATTTCAAACGATTTTGTTCAACCGTTTTACCTCATGTTTTGTGAAACACAACTCTGGCCATGGCTATGGGATGTGCCTTGCGCCAGGTGGTGCTAAAAATCGCCTTTTATGGGGACGGGCGTGGGCATGGCGCATACTGCGCAATGTGGCGCCGAACGCAGTGATGCAGAAATAAAATGTTTAAAACCAGCCAATGTTTTACCAGCAGTTTAAAACTTGACCGATTGGAATGGGTAAACTATCTTATGTTTTTATGAATGTTTGTTTAAAGCAAGGGCAAACATATTACTCCAGTCCCAACTATCCTAAAGCCTCAAGGCTACATTCATGTTGTTATTTATTATTATTTTTTTTCATTCAATGAATAAAACTAAACCCGAAACCAAGATTAGAAAATTCAGTTACAGATTGCCACTGCCGAGTCTCGTCAACCCAACATTTGGAGGCGAGTTCAACGTTTGCTGGACAATTGAGTAGAGAGGACACACAAACGATCATCGCTTTCACTCCTTCAAAACAAAGTCTCAAGAGTCAATGGCAAATGAATACAAAAAAGTCAGTCTGTATACAGTTTGGTTCAGAGTGATTCTAGAAGGCCAATCTGGAGCTGGAGTTAGTTGTGAGCTTTGCAATTAGACATCACACGCACAAAAAGAAACCAGAAGTACATGTAAGTAACACACTGAATATACTGCAACTTTTGAGTCAGAACCCTCTCACAAATTTCATCCAGTATCTCATTTCAAAGACCAGAGTGTTCCAAACAGTTCCCATCAATACTTTGACAACGGAGATGGTATTTTTTTTCCCGCAGAGCACAGACAGGCTGACCTTGATGTAAACTGCAAATAGAGTATCCACTAAAAGAGCAAGAGCTGAGAGAGAGCCGTTTCTAATGACTCTTGATTTTTATCTTAATGAGACACAAGAGAGCGCTGAAGACCCTCTGACATTTACGAAATTTGATTGTTCTTTCATCAGGCACCAAAATTGATGTAAATTGGAAACAAAGTATCCACTGAAAACGTTCTAGAGCTGAGAAAAGAGCTGTTTTATGGTGACTCTGGAATTTTTACTGAGACAGCGAAGAGCCTGACATTTAAGAAACTTGATTATTTGACATTTCACGTCAGGCAAATGTACTCTTTTCTGTGGAAAGAAACATTTTGACAGTGTATTGAAGATTGACAGAGTTTCATTGGTGGCTCACACAAACATGTAGATCATGATCAATTAAAAACGAAATAAAAAGGGGAAAAGATTCATACGCGGTATCATACAGGAAGCTACAGTACAGAGCCATTCAAAATAGATTGATATCAAATTTCACAACAGAAGAGTATTGCATTTCTGTCACTTCCCTCAGACTTTTCACTAAGAGCATCCACGGCAGATTTTCACCAAGGCACATTCTTTGCCCAATCCTTTGACCAATCAACTTTAAACGTTTGCAAACTGGACTCTTTCTTCAAAGGCTTAAAATAATCAACATGTTCAAGCAAAGAGTCCTTTATAACGGTTGTAGAGAAAAAAATCAGAGAGAAACTAGAAACTGATTGTATTAATATAGTTGCCCGATTTTTTTAATTTTTTTTTGGCAAAAAGCATCGCCCATTATTTCAATGAGAATCCTAATTTCACTAAAGTCACTAAATTCAATATAAAACGAGCATCAACACTCAATGCAAGACTTGCAATTAACATCTTAGGAAAACACTCAATGAATTTCAGAAGAGTCGCTGATTTGTTCTACTATTTTAAACTAAGCACCCAAGCCATCGAGCAGATATTGCTTTTTTTTCCCCTCTCCGCCCTCCCTGTGACGCACTTCAATTTGATTACATCTACAGAAAGCTGAGCAGACTGGGCACTCACCGCTTGTTTTCCACTTCAGCGAGTTGGGCCTGCTCCTGATAACCAGCCTTTGCGCGTTCGTACTTCCGATGGAGTCTTCCATTCTCTTCCTCTGCGCTGGCCAACTCAGTCTTGGCTTTCTCCGCGTCCGTGAGGCTTTCTTCCAGCTGCCGTCGCAATGTCTTCAACTGAGACTGGCCGTCAGCAATTTCGAGCTGAAATTATGAAAAATGTGCAAAACAACTTGAATGTCTTCTTCTAAACACAACAGAGAGGACAACTACCTGTAGCATTGACGACAAAATCGAAGCAGAAACCAGTTTTGTTGCTTACAACTGTTGAAGTTCTTATCCTGGAAGCACTGAACATGGGGCACTGAAGGCGCCATGCATATTACAATTTACTAGACAAGAGTTACAATCATTATGAGCAATTTTGGATGCTGACCTTTTAAACTAGACTACTCAATTTGCGACATAAAATCGCGCATGCATGGTCTGTTTTTTCACTCGAACGTGTCTAGTCGATCGACTAGTCAAATAAAGTTAGTGCGTAGCAACAGCAGGCCTCCACGTTGCTAACGAAGCAAATGTTAACACGTCATGTTTATTTTCTATTACATGTACATGGAGTTCTCTACTTCAAATTAGAGTAATTATTAATTACATGTATCTTTTTGCAAAGATGCATTATTAATATTATTGAACACTGTTGAAAAAAATCTACATTTTATTGTTAATATTGACTGTGATAACAAAAGTTTGCAAAACTTGCCCCAGTTTACCTTTCCACCATCTTGAAATTGTGACGTAAATCGCGAATTGACTAAAGAAACAGTGCTCCGAGGCTAAGTTGATCCAGTTGGACTAGCTAATCCTACAACGCAGCGTTCAAGTGACATTTAGATCGACTATACTTAAGTCTAGTCGACTCTAGTCACCCAACCAAACTTGCTCTAAGTTACTACATGTACATGTAGCCTGTGGTGTGTCCTTTTGTAAGACAATTTACGGCAATATAGTTTATAAACAACTAGAGGTAAATTTGGCTCATTGTTGGATCCCTTGAAGTTTAGTGACTAAACTACAAAGAGAGGCCAATGGAAATTTGTGTCACGGTAACTCGCGCTACCGGTTACAGATTGTCGGCCCATCTTTGGTACAAGTTAAAACAAAATTAGAAAAAAATTATAGTTTGGCATAGAATATGAACCTTTCTCTTTGCCTTAATAAAACAAAATGCCAACATGTCTCCCTAAAATCCATAATTTCTGCCCCCCAAAACACTATTTTTTGACAAAAACTACATTTTACCATATTCCATCTCATTGCCACATCACTCAAATGAAAGATCTTTTTGTCCCCTTTAATGTGATACCACATCTTGAGGTTGTGAAGATTTCACAATTTTCCCACTTTTCAGCTGTGTCCACTTTTGCGTGGAATTGCCCTGAACTGCCCAAATGAACACTGTCTTTGGAAATTATCCTTAACGAAAATGTTTACAAAAGTGCAGGAAAGAAACAGTGCCTAATACCCATATACATGTACCACTCTGCATAACACAGCGATTACACCATCCTGATGCAAGTGTGTGAGAAACGCCCAGATACTCAGAGTCACCGAGCGCAGAGCGCGCGTAATGGCAAGCTTGAGAGCCTGCACGTAGATCTAATTTGAAACACTACAGAAAGGCTCCGTGCTCGTACAAAAAAGAGAGGGGGGTATAGAAGCATTCGGTTAACTCAACCCTCTCTAGGCCATTGAGATTTGATCCTGGCTCGTCTACGCTTCGCTAGTGTGCACTCGAGAAAAACCAGTAAGAGTAATTGCAGGAAATGGCTACTACCAACTACATCAGCTTGGATTTCCTGCACAGTTACTCTGATTCACTGGCAATGAAGCCAACTAATGCGGGAATGCCGATAACATTTCATATCAAATTCAAAGGTTGTCTAAGACTTCCCTCTGAAAATAATTCGGGGGGGGGGGGGGGGAGGACTGCTTTTGACCATTTAACCTTTGAGGTGGAAAGATATGGCAGTCATCAAACCTACGTTGAAGAAGCATATGGCATGCCAGACTGCATGGGATCTCGAGTGCAGAAAAACATGCAAAACGGCCAAAAGCAAAATGGCCAACTTTACTCACTCTTTAGCGAACAAGATTCTCCAAAATTTTCATGAGCCAAAGACAAGGTCCTCACTATTTCCCCAGCCAAGTTTGAGGTCTCAATTCAATATTGCAAGGATGCTTTTCTTCAATATTTTGCAACTGAGAGTGAAGCCAAGTGATTTAAATTTGAAGCCTAAGACCAGACTGGTAAATGTCCAACTTTTTGAGAAGATTGATCCTTTCTTAGTCTGGTGGCACGACTATGGAAATGTGTAGAAATAGAGACTGGGTTCCAAATGTTTCTTTTTGACACAGTTGATTGATGCGGTACTAAAGGGTTGTTGGACTGGTTGTTTCATGTGCCAGTCTATTTTCTTGTTTTGGGACTCTCCTGCACAGTATCGAGAGTCCCAAATGTTCGGACTACAAAGATGCAGTGCAGGAGATCTGTTAGTTCAGAGAATTTTCTGCCTGCATGTCTGTCTGTCTGTCATTTCAGTCATTCAGATTATTGTCCTTTTAAGGTTTATATAGGCCTTGCATTATTCCTATTATAATGTCTGTGCAGGTTTCTTTCGTTAAAACTATGATTAACGTGTAATAATTAAAATAATTAGAATAATTTTATTTATTATTTAACCCAAGGCTGCAAAAAGTCAGATAAGATTATCCAGTTATTTACTTACTTTGTTTGCTCTCTTTACTTGTGAAATCGGACCAACAGTGCTGATGGTCTAATCATGCAACAATGCAGCATTTCAAGAAATTTCTACAGGGGCATGAGTGACCACTGAAAAAAATAGCTGAAAACGGCTGAAAAAGGTGTAAAAAAGCTGAACTTTTGAAATCTCCTATACTTTTGTACACAGCAAGTGAGGGAAAAAGCTGGGAAAAAGCTGAAAAAAAAGCTGAAATCCAACACACAAAAAAGCCGAAATCAGCTTTAAAGCTGAAATTTCACACCCCTGTTTCTATCTAGCAATGAAATTTATTTGTGTGTCCTTTTGTCATTCTATTAAGTTGAATATTATTTGTGTATATTCAATAACGTTTCCTTAAACATGCAATATGGTCCACTGACCTAAAACTCAATGTAAGGTCTAAAAATACATTGTGTAAATCTAATCTCTCAGCATGGAAATGGAAATGGGTCAAACAGAGCAATCTTAAACCAGAACAAAATGTTGTTATCGAAATAAAAACAACCATAAAAATGGAGCTTGTAAATTTTCTTGACATTTATGGGATAGCTTATAGATTATGCTAGAGTTTAACTTGTGTATTTAGTAATAAGTGCCTGAATTTGTCCGTGCACCGTCGCTTTTAAAATAACCACTTATCTGGAGGATTACACAACGGTGCCATAAAACTCGTGCAATCTCTTGGGAAATACCTTTTTATTACATTTGTTCAAATAGTTCATGAATCAATATGTGTACACACTGCATGACAGTGTATTTGCCTATGAAATTTAGTAATGTAACTGAATTGATTTTTTTTCATGGTTTGTCGTAAAACTAGGTTCGCAATCTCTGCTGTTGTTATAACAGTGAGGAATACCTGTGGGACATCACTGTAATAAAGGCTACATCGCTCAAATATTTGTACAATTTAAATACGGAAACAAAGTCAGAAACAACATTCAATGACAACTTAAATTGCACCGTGTGATATTATTGGGATTTTTGTAATAATCATTAACTTAGTTGTTTTCTTTCTCAGTTTAATTTTTACTGTTGTCTTTTGGTTGTGTCCTTACATGTCAGTTTTGAAAAAGATTTTAAATACAAAAGCTAGATTGAATTGATACATGAATTTGAAATGTTGAAAGAAAATATACAATCTTTCTCTACTAGTAAAATTTAACAATGGCTTTTATAGGTAAAAAATAGCTACTGAATACATCTAGTAATTTAATAACATCTGAAGAGAATTTATAGCCTGTCTGTGTATTTTGTGAGCAAATGAGCCATACGTTCCCAACAAATTGCCATAAATATGCCCTCTATCATATTCTAAGCAAATTAATTTGATTTTTGTATGCTCCAGAAATACATGCACACTGTGCACACTGCCAATTTCCGTGTCCACAAAATCAATTGTCTGATCTTTAACGGCACCAGAGGGGAACAGTTACACATTAAAGGTCTACCTTTCTGATTCAGCCTTAATTGACTGCTTCTAAGAAACACCACTCTCTATACCGACCCCCCCCCCCCCCCACCTCCGCCTTTCCCCATCCCCAAAAATGTGAGAATAAACAAAGTTAAGTGTCAAATGAAGAACACAAGCAAACAAAAAATCTTTTTGTTTTCAGAGGAATGGCTCTACAGGCTATGTATGGTGTTTTTTTCCTGTGGGGGGAGGGGGGACATGGGAAAATATAACCTGGGGTCCATGAAGGTAACTCCTTAAGTTTTGTTGCGAATTGATGACCAAAATATGACTCCGAATAATTTGGGCAATACAGTTCTCTGGATATATGCCACTACTGAAATGGTACAGCAATTTTAGCTTTTTGTTTTGTTTTTAGACCTGTACACTTACAAGAACAGGTTTTCATGTTGCCATTCAGTATTATCCAGAAAAAAATGCACCGCAATACAACATGTATCACATAGCACCTACATTCGCTACTGTTGGCTGTTCACCCATACACGTATGTACACGTAGTTACCTAATACAGTTCTATCATACGCAGAGCAGTCACTGCTTGCAAATGGTTGGGCCCTGTATTCCTGCCAGACCAGTAATTGTTCTACATTAAGCAGCGTCCCTCTCCCCCCCCCCCCCCCCCCCTACGAATAGATTTAATGAAGCTGTGACTTTCCTACATGTACATGCAGTTGCCACTGCCTGGGCCCAATCTGCGGGCACAATCATGTCAAGTTACGCTTGAAATGAGGGCAAGTTCACTGCACCCTGCCTAATTCATCTAGGTCAGTGTGGTACTGGAGACACATTACACACATCTTGAACTTAATTTGGCTCCTCAGATTTTTTCTTCTGTTCTTCTTTTTTTAACGGCGAGGGCAAACGGTTTCTGTATTTGTTTAAAGGGACACATCGTCCTGAAATTGATGCAATTTTGGTGTTTGAGATGGTTCACTTAAATCCTATTTCAAAAGTCGGGTTGCAAGGGGAAACTAACCTTATGTCGCACTGTTCCCGAGAAAAGACGGGAAAAAAATTGTTGTTTACCTCTGACACAGTGGACATTTTGTGCCATAAGAATGTATTTCCAGCAGTAAATATACCGTAAGCCTCCTACTTGGATGTTGCCCCCAGCTTCTGTCAGAGGATTCAATATATACATGTACAGTACGTGACGTACGTGTGTCTGTGCGTGTGGATATAATGTACAAGTACACACAGCGACAATACACACGTTGTTTCCCGCACGTCCGTAGCCTGCGTTGCACCGGTGAAACCTGTGCTGCAGGATTCACGACTAGCACTCAAACAGTTCGATTTTTCAGTCAAAATTCTGACCCCAAAAATTCGTTCTCACAAGAATAACACAAAAAACGGCCAATTTTTTAAAGGATGGTTGTGTGGACGTTTATATTCTACTTTTAATGCTCGTTCCAACTGATATCATTCCTTTAATATGCATTTTGTAGCCCAATTGGGTTTTTTTCCAGGATGCAGTGTCCCTTTAATGACGATTGAGAGGCTGTGCTATAGCAAACAAACATATGCAAAAAATAGCAAACAAACATATGCAACATTTTAAGGGCAATCCTGCATCAAGGACATTACCAATCAGACAATTTGTGGTACTTTAAGAGCTCAGTGAATATAAACCTGAAAATGTATTTGTCAAATCTTATACCTCAATACCTAGTAATAGTCAAGGAGGTACAGACTAGGAGTTTTGGATCATTTCTCTGAATCATTAATAAGATTTCAAAGTGAATTGGCTCTGTCACAGACATCACAGTTTCTTCCATAACGCTAGAACTGCCCTTCAGCAAATTCCAATAAGGATGAGAAAAAAATACCAAAGAAAATATGGCACTGCAGCTATGACCTCTCTGAGGCCTAAAACAGTACTTACTGAAGAAGTCATTTCGAAATATCTCATAAAAGCATTTACCCCGGTATGCTTTAATTATAAATTCATAAATACCTCAGAGAGTTTAGCTATTCCTATTGGTCGAGAGCCCGTCACGTGGCCGGTCTTAAACGGATGATAAAGACATGGCTAGCTGGTCTTAAACACTTTTCCAGTGTCACAATAAAATGTGGACTCCTAAAATTCCAGTGCCTCTTACCGTTTCATTGGTTGAACGTTCACAATCCTCACGTAGGCGTGCACAACACTACCAGCGAGTCAGAATTTTATAGTTCTAAATTCAAAACGCAACGCCCCAGGTGTGTTCTGCGCGACATCGCGCAGAACATGCTACGCGGGCGTCAATCTCCATCAAAGGGTTGTTTACATCTTACTCGCCAGCTGAACACTCCATTATTTTGCTAGAGGGATGTTTCAAAAAGCATGAAGTGAACATCCGGCTCGGGTAATTATCAGCACCCAGACTCTAAGCGGTCTTAAACAGAGTGATAAAAACCTCCGGAGCACACATTTATTCCCTTATTGAAATGTATTTACATTTGTGACCCATTAGCCATTGAACAGCCCATGTCTACTACATGTACTCCCTGTTCCACCTGAAACCACCCCCGCACTCTATGGTTGTATATATTCATCAGTGATTAAACACAGTGTAATACACGTTGGATAAATAAAATTGAAAAGTTGAACAAAAACTTGACTGGAACGGGGCTTGAACCTACGACCTCCGGATAACCGTTTCAGTGCTCTTACCAACTGAGCTATCAAGCTCTATGTTGGCGGTTCCCCAATAAGTCAATATCTTTGTTCAAGGGGCGCTAGTCTGAAGCCAATACATAATAATGGCTTCTGACTAGGCCCCTTGAACAACGTTATTTGTACACTCAAGCCGAGACGCTAAAACAACTTACACAAAACCTTGACGCTCAAGCATTAACAGGACAAAGACTACACCAACTAATAAAAATCATGGCATGTCTAGTCAAGAGCATCCATGTTTACACCTGAGTTTATTACAAACCACAACTTGTGTTGATAATACCTTCTTTTATGGCGCCTTTAAAGCAGTCTGTTTCTTTTATGATGTGGCTAAAGTAATCAGTATAAAGTAAACCTGTGTCAGGACTGACAGCATTAATTACCGGTTTGTACCTTGGGGGAAATGCTGTCACAATAAATTACGCTTCCTTGGAGGTGAAGGTACATAGGATGTGACTCAACCACCCCCGAACCCCCCCCCCCAAAAAAAAGCGAAAACAAATCAAAACGAAGGCAAAACAATACCAAAACAAAACAAAAACCAAAAAACCTCAGAAAAATTTAATCAACCTGGTAACCTGTGAATGTCTTTCCTGAAAAATCCTTATATGATTTCAAAATATTCCTGAAATCCCCCAAAACGAATAAAAACAAAAGCAAACAATACAAAACAAAACAAAAGAAGACAAGCACTAGAAAAGAAAATTCAAGTAAACATCTGTTACATGTAGGTAGTTAATATATTATTCCTAAGAATTATGCATTCTCACGAGAATTTTCATCTTCTTTTCCCTTCTTTTTTTGGGTTGCCATCGGCAGTTTGACACCCACAGGTTCTTTGTTGTTTTCACCGCCTTTGACCATCTGGCTCAGGAATAGCGAGCTGCGAATCCCGGAAAATATATCCCCGAAGTCAAAATCTTTGACAGGGTTTCAAAATTGTGTCTGTCGGCTCAAAAAAGCGATCGTAATCTGGCCTGGGCATGCGTGGTCGTAACCCATGGAATTCCGTTATCACAACTCTAGAGGGCAGTTTAGAATTCAATATTTCACAAGCATTAAAGAAAACTCCTCTCCTCACAAAAAAAATGTTACGCACTTTTGAAAAAATGAGATCTGCTCCCCCCCCCCAAAAAAAAAAACCCCTATAAATGTTCCTTTCCATTTTTTTAAAGTGTAAAAGTGCCCCTGCTGAGACAACGTTTTTTAAATTGGAAAAATCTGTTTGATCAAAAAATAAGAGCAACACATAAAAAAGTTGATTAGTATGCAGGCAAAATGAACAGAATTTTCTACAACCGCGCCATCCGCAGTCAAAAACCTCAGGCACAGTTGCAAGTCCCAGAACACCATGGTTTGCAATCCCTCCCTCCCGGGAGCTTTCAAAGTAGAAATCAAAAATAACAGGACCGTCTTTAATCAGTGAATGCGTTTCCTATGCCTGTAGTAATTATCGGTCAAGCCTAATCACATACTACTCAAGGGGAAGACATGTACACGCTCTGCGTGTCTGTGACTTGTTAAGCGGAATGTTTAATAGTTTGTACAAACCTTGAGGGTCTGCAGTTCCGCATCCATCTCGGCTCGCTCACGCTTGAGGCGATTGGAGCGGTCCATCATCATCCGTTCTCCCTGACTCTACAGAATGATCGCATCAAATAACAAATCATTCTGGCCAAGACATTTTGTTTGGAAGGGGGGGGGGGCATTTCAATCACTTGTAATTGAAAATTCATAATGTTTATGGTTGATGGGATTTGATGCATACAATTTTAAAGCTACATTCATGAATAAAATGGCACAGGAATAGCTGTATGAAGTGCAGAGTCCGAAACAAATCGAAGAAATTTAACAGTAATCACAGTGGTCAAAATATTGAAACTGTGTATGGCTAAAAAACGATACTCATGAACACAGTTTTTAAGAAAGTAATGTGATCTGGGAAAATTCCTTGGCTGTCAGGTGTAAAGTCTCCCCCCCCAAAAAAAAATTATGTTTAAACCAAGTAAACCAAAAAAAAACCACAAATAAACTCAGTTAGAAATTATTTCAAAAAAAAATATGTTTTTAAACCAAGTAAACCAAAAAAACAACAAATAAACTCAGTTAGAAATGATTTCAAAGTTACAGAAAGAGCAAAATCTCAGTTTTGAACTGACTGTAAAAACCTGTACATTTTCAGATATTGCATGAAAAACGTTTCAAAATTTTTAAAGGAAGCATATTATAACATATCTAACTAACAGAGCATTGCTGTGCTAGGAGCAACTTTTTTTCCAACAAGTGTGTTATTAAAATGATGACAGAAACAGAACAAGACTAAAAGGCAGCACAAACATTTCCAAATCAAATAACTCAAAATATGTCTCAACATTCTGTTGGGAAATACAGAATTTATATTTTCTCCAAACATGAATTATCAGGATGTATTTGTTTTTAAATTCTTTATAAAAAAAAAAGAAGAGAAGTAAATTGTGCATGGTTCATTAATGAATTTGCTCTCAATAAGCTTTTACGGGAAGGAAAAGTGAAGAGGCTAAAATTAAACAAAATCAGTCACTATTAAGCTTAGTAAATGTACAACCATTCAGACCAGTGTTCATCTCTGGTCACCTTGGCATTCAATGGCTGAAAGTAGTTTTATTTCTTCTGAATGGGACATTGCGGTAAAGCAGCTTGCCCAAGGACACAACATGCATATGGCCAGCAGCAGAATTTAAATCTCTTGGCCCCTGATCTGGAATCACAATCCCTGAACACAAAATAATTTGGTCTCTAAGAGGAGAATACAAACTAGCACTGTTGAATGCTGGAATGCACAATAAAATGCACGTACCTTTTTGGCTTCATTTTCTTTCTGCAACTCCTCAACAAGCATCCCATAGTTTTGTTTTTCCTGTATCCACGGAAAAAAAATAACACAAAAATAAATAAATAAATCAGTTTCACGAATTTATAACAGTTCAGATTAAGTTATTTTTAAAGGCTTCTTTAGGTTTCATTAAAAATTAGGTTTCTCAGTGTTTAAAATAGACGTTATTTTTTTTTTTTTTGGTTACAGAATGAAGCCGCAGACTGGTGATACTGATAACAAAGTTGTTTATGTTATATTTGTTTTATTCAATGTGGTTTGATCCCAGGATTCCACAAGTAATAAACCACCTTTTTTTCATCTGTGGTAAATGGAAAGTTCCTCTAAAACAATAAATTGAAACAGAAATACTCTAACTATTTTTTACAAAGATAAAAAAAAAACCATCAAACCCCTATTCCTACGTTTACATTAAAACTTCAGACAAATATTTAAACAGTGAAACTTCAGACAAACATTTAGACATGATGTTTGCATACAACTGGTCCCGTCCTCCTTTTGTTAAAAAAATGGATGGAAAATATTTAAAGATCCTTTTACAGGTGCTGAAAATCATAAATGCAAATCTGAAAGTCTGTGATCTCCTTGTTTAGCTACATCACTTTTTCATATCCTATTAGTTTTTTACACCACGTACATGTACACCTGTGACAACATGCCAAAGACTCGCACTTCTGAAATGTAGCTTCATACTTGAAAGTACATGTATATTGCTGCTTTTGAATTCACAACCTGCCACTTCATCATGTACATATATTTTTCGATATATAGGAAACAAAAAGATTGAGAAGTAAATGGAGTGCTTTTCCCTGGGATACCCTATCCACAGAGCTTGATTTCTATTCAAGAGCTATAGACTCTCCATCAGGATCATTTGAAGGCGATCAATGTCCTGGGTTTGTAAACACAGCTAAACACAGGTCTCATGAACACGCAAACGCTGCAGACCATCAGCAATAAAGCCTAGGCCAGGTACGGTACCTAACATTCCTTCATCTTAAAAGAGGCCTACATGATGTAGGCAGCATGCATTCCAGTGTGATCCCTGATTGTGGGAAACAGAGACCAACTACAGGAGCTACGGAGCAAAACCCACGTACGGAGGAGAACAGACGAAGAGACCGGCATCTAATAAGAGGAGAAAGGTCACCTGGGGTTACGCTCGCGGTACAGTTAAACCAGCTGTCACTGGGGCAAAATGGTCACGTAATTGAAACAGGTTGACGCGGTTATGTGCGCGCATTCATACCGGTATCTCAAATGCTTGGGAAGGCTTCTTCAATTCCGTGGATAATATGCCGTCTCAGGGCACAGGGGCTACTGGTCATTCTCATTAGTGTTGTCAATTCAAAGCCGAACTTCCGTTGAATGAGTTGGGGTGGGGTGGGGCACTGACGCAGGAAAACAGAAGATTTCAAATTCTGAGATGCATGAATTTCTTTGATGTACGGGTACAAAGGGAACTTACCTTAACAAAAACATAGAAAAAAACTACAGGGAATCTTAATTAGATAAGAACAGAGTATGCAAGACTGGAAAGGTTATGTTCTGACGCACTGCTGAAAGAGGGTGATATAGTGAGTATTCTCAGAGGTCTTCAGGCAATGAAGTCAAATGCAAAGCAGTGATAGTAGAAAGGCCGTGTTCCTGTCAGGTGACACGGCGTATTCATTATTTCTGGGAAGTGTACGCCCGCGTAATTCAATCAGGATCCTCCTATTTTCGGAAGTTTCGTCAACTCGCCGCACCTTAACAAAAGAAATGAGTGCGCGGGATCGGAGATGCCATTATGCATATGGGGCACATTAGCGATAACGGCATGCACTGCACATCCTCCAGAAACTCAGCAGAGTGTAAGTAACATTGACATTATCTTGTCATTATGCAAAGGAACCTAAGGCTATCGGAGTCAGTGGGGCATCGGAACCCGTCTACGCTTTGGCCGGGAATCAATAAATCAGAGTGTGCGAACCTTTATTAAATTTGTCCTCCATGAACCCAAAGATGAGTGATCATTGTCACAGCATGAATTATTATCTCCTTTTTCTATGCGCAGCGCCAGTAATTGGCAGGTGGAAGGCATTAAAATGACTATAAATTAATTTAAACCTAATTTAATGGAGCGTTTGCCCCCTTTGCGCTGGCAGAAATTCTACAATTATACTCCAGCGATGGAGGAAGGAATCGAATGATGGGAACCGATTGGTTTTTTAATTTTTTATTTTAGTCTTTATGAAATGTCATCATCACCCGACAATTACAGATGTGGAAATTGGGGCAGTGTACGAGGGATGACTGGGAAAGAGACCGTACCTGGACTTAATGAAAAAACATTCTAACTCTGGAAAATGGGGCCAGATCCAAGTGGGTCAAAAAACCACACATGACTACGTCGTCGGTGGTGAAACAAAAATGTCCTGTCTTGGAAGTTGCTGGTGAGGTGAAGAGATCCATCAGCACTGAGCAATGTGGCATTATTGACAATATGTAAGATTATTTCCAGTTGGCCAAGTCTGATCAACACTACCCAATGTGATTTTAATTCATTTGGATGGGTTTCAAACCAATCTTTTGAACAATCTGAAATCACTAGGTTGGTGCAAATCCCTGTTTGAAATGTGATCACATCGAGGGGAAAACAAACAGCAGGAAGCAATCAAATGTTGGAAAATGTCTTAACTTCAAAATTAAAGGTAGAGTATATCATTTGTCATTTTGTGCATAGTTTTCGTTTGAAGCAACAGAAGTGCTCAAAATCTAAAAGAAGGGTGCTAAACAACTAACCTGATGAAGTTTTAGCTGAGTGAATGCTGTACATTCCGAGAAAACAAATGTTCTGGGATCTCGATATTAATTCAAAAGTTGCCAAGTCACGTTTTGAATTGTTCCTCATAAAATCAGCATCCGGAAAGGTTCTCATTCAGCCGATTGCAGCTACGCGATGTCACGCACTGAACAAATTAAACCCGCCCTGCGAGACCCAAATAAGTCATTGTAAAGAAATAATTCAGCAACTACATCGATGGATTTTTTCGTTCGATGTCTCATTCAAATGTGATCAACGTTCCATCATTCCATGTGTATCGTTAGGAAAAAAAAAAAGTAATCGAAACGAAAACATCTTTTTTGTGTGATTAAACTTAAAATAGCACAGTACTGAATACATCTTTAAAACAAAAGAGTTACTGGGCGCATATTGCTCCAGTTGCTCTAGCAATTTCTAAGGTAATTAGCGTGTGGACTGATGCAGCATTAGGAATTGAAACTGTGGGCATGTTTTTTTTTTCTTTTTTTCAGTAAGCTATTATGTTTAAATCACTAGCATTCCATGAGTTGCCAAACTAAATATTTTGGAATTCCTAGCTCTCAGTCAACGAATTACAGCACATGATTTTGATTAGAGCTGTCATCAGGAAGATAGTTGCGCCTCTCAACTTCACAATTATAACATACAAAGCCTCACCAACTGGACTTGAGAAAAGAAACTGAAAACATGACTGGCGTGATTGGAATACCATAGGGCATGATGCACTCCACAGCTGAATCTAGTATCGCAGTGAAAGGGAACCGGTGTAACTATGTGGGTACTTGGACAACAAACATTCAACATTTGGTCACCATTGACAGATACGCATACATGCAACCCATAGTAGGTATATCACTGGGAGCTCAATTGGTGTACAATACATGGACATGTACGGTACATGCTTCACGCTGGCAATGTTGAGTTTGATGGAATGCAAAAGTGACAAGGAGTGGTGATAATAGACTGGAGGGGGAGGGGGGGGGGAAGTGGAATTGATTTTTGCTGAGCAGATGACTGGATTTTTTGGAGGAGCTGATTTTTGAAAAATTACTTGCCAATATTTGCTGTGATGTCACACATATTTGCATTGTCTGGAAAACCTGAGCTGTGTCCCAACAAAAGGCTTTTTTTTTCATGGCTACGGATCTTTACTTGTAGTATGTCAATGGGTCAAACTGCAAGCCAGCAAGCCACAGCCACAGTCATTCAGGCTTGCTCCAAGCTTAGGATGCAATGAATGCCAGGGTTGAGCCTTAGCCAATGGGAACCAATTGGCGGCTGCTGCTTTGGTGCTCTGGCTAGGACCCGATTTCATTGAGCTCCGACCCAATTGTTTAGCAAAATTATGCGCTAAGCTAAAATCAGTTGATAACCAGCCACAAGCAATTGATTTTGTATAACATTTTGACCGGCATCCTTTTTTTTTTTTTTTTTTTTGGCTAAGCAACTCTGCCAAGTAAATGTCTGTACTTGAAATTGCTGCATGAAATAATTGGGCCCTGGTCTTCGGGGAGGAACGCTTGAGGCCTCTGGACATACATACGTAGACCACATTATGCAGATGTTCCCCCTTTGATCCTGATGAATGTTGGCAGGTACATGAATTGAGCCATTCTGAGTGGCTGAGGGCCTATCATGTGAGTAACTAGAAACGGCTGTGCAAACACGACGGAGAGCCCCTCGATACCGCTGAGAGATGCCATGAATGGGAATGTCGTCAAAATGGTTGAACCCCAGAATCAGGACAAGATATGCGCAGGTATTTATGCCAGAACTTTAGGGAAATGTGGCTAAACTTGGGTACATATGTAGTTGACATAAACTGAGATTCTAGGACTAAGTGCAATTGCTTCTTACGAGCATCGGGTAATTGGAATTTGAAGGATGTAGCTTGTATAATGGAATTGTAAGGTTTTAGCACTTCAGTAACGTGAATGACATTAAACGCAATATGGAATTGACAGTTTTCAGTTGTTTTAGCCAAACTCAAGTCAGTTTTCAATCTTCTTATTAACTTAGTAAAAGCATTTAAGACCAACAACCAAGGAACCTTGAAAGTAAAATTCATTATTTTTCTATCTCATACAATGTAGCTGAGGATGCACTGAGAAAAGACGGCGACGGAAATGCTAAGTTACATACATGTACGTAGTGTAAATGTCAGTTTGAGGAAAAGCCTAGACACTTAAATATGATGAAAAACATGCCATTATTAAAATAATAGGGCCAACAAGTCCAATCCACTTGTGCACGAGGACTGATTTGCGCCAGGGTCAATAGATTTGGAAGGCAATTAAGAAAAGTACCATTTTCAGAACTGTTTATGAATTACAGTAAAATATTTGATAGATTACTTGTCATTTTGGCAATACCCAGCTGTGGATGTTCTACATACCGTGTTGACCCATTAAAGGTATTGACCCTACAATTCAACACACTTTGATTGTTTTGATCATAAATCTGTCAGTTATACATCTTATAATTATTTATAATTCTTCCATTTCATTTACTAAAAATGCCTACACTGCACCTAAAAATCCAAGCACGTCTTTTCAGATTTCGTTTGAAATCACTTGCTCAATTACCAGCGCACATCCTAAATTCCTACTTTGTCACATAAATCTCTCCACAATAAGAAAAGGCTTCAGATATAAGTTCCATCACAGAACAATTATAAACCTCTTACGAGCTTAAAGTTTAAAGATATTTAATCTGCGGATGAATCCTATTTAGAATGCATTGAGGAAGCCACTCTTGTAATTGCTTCAGAAAGCATTTGACTGGTCAAGGTTGTAGTCATGTATTTTTGGAGCTCGTAATTTGAACAGCATGAACTAGCTGAGATTCCTCCGATGCCAAAGATAATGACTGTGCATGTCTTAGTGATTTTCTGAAAGACTTGGGACTGAACACTGCACATTAATGCAAAGAGCAGTCAGATCAAGCAAGGACTTGCATTTTTTCAAACAACATGCTTGTAATACAGATCCAGCTGTCTTTGTCATGCACTGATTTTTGTTTTACAATTTTGTCCAAGTTCAACCGCAACTTCAATCGTTACACTTTTCTTTTTCTTAATTTCTTGATTTCTCTCCCTTCTTTGTGCAGCCTTCACCTTGTCCTTGAGTGGCCCTTAAAGGTAATACACTTGTACATGTACAACATTTGCTTTTGCTGTAATTTTCAGAAATGGATGGATTTGGGGGCAAGTATTTCAAAGCAGTTATTGTTACACTGACATGTTTAAAGCTACATGTATAGTCCATCATTTGCAGCCATCCGAAAAGTAACTGGCGTAATTATTGATGAAAAACATACTTGGTTGAAAGATAGTAAGGGGACTAAACTCCCGGTGAATTTATTCTCTCTGGCAAGCTGTCATTTTGAAGTAATCAACGAAAGAAGGCCTTTCCAACAGTTAAGACGCACCGTAGGAAAATTTAAATTAGTAGTTCATTTTGTTATTCTGCAAAGCGCGCGCAAGCATTGGCACGACGCACACGCACGCGCGGTTGCTATAATTCGTCGGATCAGTGCGCGACATTGCGTATAGCTGCAATCGGCTCAGTGAGAACGCGTCTCGGACGCTGAATTCAGGCCCAATTCAAAACAAGATTCAGCAACTTTTGATTTGAAATTGAGATCCTAGAATGCTGTTTTTCTCGGAATATACAGCTGAAGCTGAGCTGAAACTTCATCAGGTTAGTTGTTCAGTACCCTTCATTAGATTTTGAACACTTTTGTTGCTTCAAACGAACAAAATGCACATATTACAAATGATGGACTATATCTTTAAAGTTTTGTGTTCATAGACGCTGGAAAAACCATGAAAAAGGCTGTTCTTGTAGTCTGGTTCCCTGACCCTACTTCAGACGATACAGAGCAATTTTTGACGTCGGGGAGTCGTCAGGTCTGGGAATCATCAGGTCTGGGAATCGTGAGGTCTGGGATCCAGACTAGCTGGCTTGCACCTGTTCACGGATGTGTTATCGATTGCAAATAAAATATGGACCAAATTTGGTAAACTGATAGTAGTACTTGAAAAAAGTCTGATTTTGTTTTCCAACGATGATCGGCCAACCATCGTTTGAAACTGATACAAAAATTCCACTTTTCTTGAAAATGACAGCACACCAGGTGCCGTGATTTCACAGGATGCTTGAGACTATTATTCACTTACAGTCAAGTAAGGTATAAATAATTTGGTAGTTTTGTTTTTTGATGTTTGCAAATGTTGTATTTTACTTTGAAAGAGGGCGTTGTGATGGGCGACTCTCATAAACCAAAACAAAACAACAATATAATATTCAGAAAATTTCTTCCTGTTTCAAGAGCGATTTTGAGAGCAAAGGATTCCATGGTTACAAAAATTCATCTCAAAATCAGATGAAAAACTGAACATGAACTGCCCTGAATGAAAAAATTAATCAAAGAAAACAAATTATGCATCATTTAAAACAAATATCTGCTTTTTCCAATTAATAATGCCATGCATGATCGCTGCACAGATAACGACTTGTTCTCAATTTTTTTCTTTTTAAACACAAACTTGTCAACAAGCGTAACAAATTTGCCCAAAGTTACTAAAACATCCATAAATTTGATCTGGAAAGATTATTTTCTTAGAGCTAATTCATTGTGAAATTTGATAATGTCATGATCCAAAATATTGTTGAACTGGGTCAGGAAATGTTGACCAAGAATGTTAAGGATGTCGACAAAAAAATCAGTTGCCGCCGCGTGTCTGTGGAAGATTTATACTTTGGCAAAGTACCGAAATGTGTGCTGAGACTTTAGAGGTTTATGCTTCGATTTCAATTCCTGAAGGGTAACTTTCCAGGGAGAATTAATAGATTGACTGTCTCCGAAAGGTCTCTGAGATGATCATTACCAAATATTTTACCGGGAAAAAAATGAGCTGACATTTCTCCGCAGTGACAGTCTTATAAACACAGAGCTCATACTGTGCAACATTTATAAATATCAAAGCCATAATATTTGGAAAAGGTGCCGTTTGGAATTTGCATGATTTGTCACTTTTGATTGTTATTTCAAAGAATTAGCAGCACTTTTTCTTCTTCAGTTTACCTCTACCTACGTAGGTAAACTGAATTTTTTTTTTTTTCATTTAGATAGGCCTACATAAGTTAGTGCGTAGGAATAAGGCCATGCACCTTGGAATGAAATGGACAAATAACGTTTGCCTGGTTTTTGTACTTACGCACGTCAGAAGAACTGAAACCCATTCTTCATTACAAAATGTGTTAATTGAACGCAACAGCTTTCATTCATTCAATATTCAATGTTCCAACGAAACACTCTTTTGTGCTGCTATCATGCAGCTGTACACTCCCCAGGGAGTTGAGATTGTCTTTGGAATGTTTCATTGGCCCAATGATCAGGAGTAATAATAATGTAGAGCACTTTCATCTTACTTAAAAGCGCTATATAAGCACCCATTATTAGGATTATTATTAAATGCACCGGTATTGTGACTTCTAGTACTCAAGAACAATGACATGTTGTATAGACAAATCCGGTGGCAGCCATTTTCTGAGGTGGTGCAAGGCTCACGCGAGTCACACTCACGGCACGCACTCCATGCTCCTTTTACCAATAGGAATACCAAAATGTGTGTGCACCTCGTCTTTAAGAACGCGTGCAGTATGCGCGTGAGCATGACACCACCAAAGCTCTGGTCGCCGCATTCCACTATACCGGTAGGTTGTGATATGCATGTACATGTATGCAGCCAGTCCACTCTGTCCAGCTTCATTGTCAACTAGTCAAAACATGCGTGCTTTATAAATCTGATCAAGGGTTCCAATCCCACCAAAGTATTAGGCTTTGGGTTTTTTTTCTCACAGGCTCTTGGTGAGTGTACAGGAAGTGATAGAAATTGCAAATACTGGTGCTACTATCGCCATGATAAAATATCATGTTTTGTATTAACTGTTTATGTTGTACTGGTTGACCTTCAAGGAACAGGACCACTATCCTGGTAATAGTGAGACATATCTAAGGCATAGCTAGTTTAACCACAATGCCCCTGTGGCTGGACTCTGGGCTGGACCTGAAGGCCACAATGTACCAGCCCACGGACTTATAAGGAATCAATTTGCCTTGCCTTAGCACCAGATCCAAGCTGACCAAGCACCTTCAATGCTGTATTATTAATATTCAAAAGTTAGTGGATAATTCCTTAGAAGGCAAGAAAACCTGTAACTACCGGTACACTGTGACGGGTAAATCCAAAACTTCCATACATTAGCGTGATGCACAACCGCATCAATGCAAACATCTAGGAGCAAGTTGGAGCACAGTTTGACAAATGTCACTCAAACCCACATTAGTCAACCAAAGTTGGACTTGTCTACGGTTGATCATTCAGGACCATGCAGCTATAGAGCTTTGTAAGATTGCTGATTACTGATAGCCGCACTCACTGCTGTAAAGCAGGGAGCCAGAGCTGAGAAGTTTTACGATGAACTTTTGACTAGCTTTTGACCAGAGACATTCGCACACTGGTACTACAAGAGTGCAGGCAAGTTAGGTCAAGAATCAATCACAAGTGGACCAATGTCCTCAATAAAACTTTCTCTGAGGGGCCATTCACAACTGTCGACATGATCACAAGTGTACGAAGAGTACACTTGTTTGGGTTTTTAAAGCGTACACAGGCCACTCACCCCCTCCTCCCCAGCATATGGTTTGTATGCTCCTGAATCGTTGATAATTGTGAACGACCCATAAAGTACATGTACCTGTTTCAGTTGCTGGGTGAGTCGCTCTGTATCTTCCTTGGCTGTCTTGGCGTCTTGCGTAAGTTGCCTAATGTGAGCCTCTGCTACTCGCCGACCGCCAGACTCCTCCGCTAGCTGAGCCGACAGCTCCGATTGCTCTACATTGACCTTGTGCCATTCACTCTGGAGAAGGACGACAGAACGTCAAATTTGAGAGATTCCACATGTTATCTGTTACTCATACCCACTCAGGTCCATCCACCACAAGTCAAGTCCGTAAAGCAAAGAAATAAAGGTCACATTCTTTGTATTGTTTGTACTTTGTACGGGTTACTTTTAAATTGAGACATCCATGTATCGGTACCAGTAATAGTGGCTTTGTTGTACAGTCCTGAATGCATTGAAATCCTATGGTCTTTGGCTTCTTTGCTTCATGGTTAAAAACATGGAGTCTTACGGCTGGGCTTGCCTAGTCGAGCTGGATCCGAAAGTCTCAGTTTAGAACATTATTTAGACTCGGTGACTAAGCCAGTCAGTCAGGCTTGCCTCAGTTGAGCTAGATCCAAAAGTCTCAGTTTAGAACATTATTTAGACTCAGTGACTAAGCCAGTCAGTCAGTCAATCAGGCTTTCCTAGTCGAGCTCGATCCGAAAGTCTCAGTTGAGGACATTATTTACACTAAGTGCCTCGGGCAAGGGCGGATCCAGAACACAATTTTTTTGGGGGGTGGGGGAAAAAAAATTTGGTCCCCCAAAAAGTGGGTAAAAAAAAATACGGCGTGGGGTTCCCGAAAAAGTTTTGGATTCTAGATGCTCGGTGGTACGATCTGAGGCAATTTCTGACCACTTTGACCAAATGTTTTTTGAGGAAAAGATGGTGGTGTACGCAGTCACATAAAAATATTTAAAAATTGGTTTCGTTTTGGAGGGGGGGGGGGCCCATGGCCCCCTTTGGCCCCCCCTGGATCCGCCCTTGGTCACTCGGGGAGTCAGTTAGGCAGACAATCAGGCTTGCCTCAGTTGAGCTAGATCCAAAAGTCTCGGTTAAGGACATTATTTCGGGGAGTCAGTCAATAAGATTACAGTACCGGTAGGCTGACCCTTTGGGTCCAGCAAAAATAGGTCTTTATCACTTTAAAGGACAAGATCTGATGTTGCAAAATAAAAAAAATCTACTTTAAATATTCCAGTAAGTTATTTCATGTATTAAATTTCATACTTTCTAGGCATTAAGCCAAGGGTTCCCAGAAAGTACACACTCGTGTAACTCAGAAGCTTGACGGATCCCAGAGAAAGAGATTTTCATCACAAGGAGTGGGAGGAAATAAACACTAGAATGCTATATTCCCAGAAACCCACAGAATCACGTACATAGGAACTGACTACCAAACTCGGCCAGGTTGGGTTTCGTTGGTGGAAGGCAAGGAAAGTGCATTCCACATTAGATTCCACACCTGCATAATTTTCACTCTGCCTACTCAAAAAAGATGTATACTTACCCATGTACCTGTATATAATATGAATTTGGTCACAACAGAAAGAGAATAAAGTAGTACATGTACTTAACCCCAACAAGTCAGCTACTCATCTAAGTAATTACATGTAAATCAAGCTAGTAAACAATATATCATGTGTGTGTGTGTGTGCGTGTGTGTGTCGTGTTTGTTTTTTTTTGGGGGGGGGAGGCACTCTTTCAAATGTTAAATGTTATTTCCTTGCATATTTTTCATGAAGAGAGAGATACCGTATTCTAAATCCTAAAGGTCTGAAATGAAAACTGCGCTGACCAATCATTTCTCACATGAAGTGATGATTTATGACCCCATTCTAGAGACGGCCATTACAAGCCATCCATAAATCATACATCCTTAATTTACACCGTTGATAACAAAAATCTTCGTAATTGCTCTCTCCCATATGTGTACCTTGAATTAAACCTTTCAAGAAACTGACAAAATCTCCCCAAAGTATATCAAATGACAGGGGTAATTGTGGAAAATGGAATCGAAAAAACATTAAGTGTTGATGAATCCCGCTTCATTTTGCACATGATCAATAGCCCCGATCTAAACGAAGGTAACAAACAAATTGTATTTGGTAGCTCCGGTTATCTTCGCCGACAATGCTAACACATCAAATCCGCTGAAATTCAATCAATTTGATGTAAAGCGGGACACGCACTGCTGGTCTAATATGCAACTGGCAATCATCCGTATGACTGATCCTGAAGTAATAAGGTTTTATCCAAGCCGACATGGAGCCGATCAGTAGACCACAGAGCAAGGGACACATAGATCCAGGGTCTCAGACAATGTGGGCGAGGTACCAACTGAACTGGTTCCAAAGCATCAACACTCAAAAACATACATACGTACACTCACATTACACATGAGATATTTGTGAACAAAATTGAAAATAAATCCATATCGTGTGTGATTTGTGTGAACTAAGTAACCACCTTAAATCGTATCGCTACTGCTTTCCTAATGACTATACAAATTAAGGTAGATCATCTGGATTATTTTTTGCAAGTAAATCAAACTCTAGCCTTGAAAAAAAAACTTGAAATTTCCAACAGGACTGAAAACTGTAAATGTAACATTTTTTTCCCAGACCATTTCAGAATTTAAAGAGATAGATACAACATTTGCTTTTGCTGTAATTTTTAGAAATGGATGGATTTGGGGGGGTGGGGGGGGTATTTTATAGCAAATAGTGTTACACTGACTTGTTCGAAGTTTTGGGTTCACTGGAAAAAACCAAGACTCATGTACGTGTAGTCTAGCTGGTTCCCTGATACCACTAGAGATGAAACGGAGCAATTTATAGACATCGGGGAATTGTAAGGTCAGAGAACCAGTGTAGCTAGCTTGTACCCATTCATACATATACCGGTAGGTGTTTAATCGATTGCAAACTAAATGGGGACTAAATAAATTGGGAGCAATATTTGAAAAAAGCCAGTTCTTTCAAACGCATGATTTTACAAGACTATGCTTTAGACTGTCATTCACTAACAGTCCAGTAAGGTATTTTGTGATAATTTGGTTGTTTTGTTTTTTGATGTTTGCAAATAAGTCTGAACACATTCATTGTGCTGAACACCAACCAAAAGGCCAACACTTTCAGGAGGTCCTTTATGAAATAATTCCTTCCTACTTGCAGAGTGTCCCTATGCACACATCATGAAATTTCCCCCCTGACAGCGATCCGACTGAGTGAAAATAATCAGCGCTGGACCACTGCCTCACCTGCCGGTCTGTTACATAGCGTTTTAGTTTACGGTTTCACTAATGCAAAGTGACAAGGGAAACAAGGCAATCTTCAGGCAGACTTCAACATTCCCAGCCAATATCTCATTCTGGAATATATATGCGGATCGCTATGTGGCTGGGAAATTATTGGGAGAGATTCTTACAGCATATGGGAAATCAATTGAGTGAGTGGAACTCTCTCCCCCTCTCTCGCTCAAGTTTCTACAGGGCGGTGGAGACTCGATGTGCTCCGTGCGTAAACTGTAGGGGGCACTATTCAGCCTCCTCGCAACAACTGAGATATAAACACTCAAATGTAACCACGAGTTGCATACAATTCCATGAGGAATGGTAGACGGCACTCAATGACCATTTATGACAACTCCATAGTATACAAATATTGAGTGGCTCAGAGTGGTATGGGAGGAATATTATCGCAAGGTAAAATCTGGACTTTTTTATTTCACGAGGCGAAGCCAAGTGAAATGGATTTGTCCAATGAAAAGTCCAGATTTTACCAAGCGATAATATTCCTCCCATTTCACAATTTAAAGCCACTCAATATTTGTTTTAACTGACTGGTCGATCCTTGTCATATGATTTTCAGTTTATAAAATGAACTTCTATTTCAATACAAAATTAGTGGGAAATGTACTGTATTTTTCTCTTCCAAACCACCCCTTCACGGAATGTTTGAACCCACCCCTGTAGTAACTGGCTCTTGGGAACAATACCCGCTACGCGCAACGCTCAACGGGCACACCAGCATGCATTTGCACACAAATACCGTGCCATGGAACAAGGATGATCTTAACTGTTGAATAGTAAATTATCCCATTCACCATGGGCAAATAGGACTTTTTGAGCCCCGGCGTGAATAGTGAATGTATGTGAGGCGTACCTGTTACATGTGACGTGAAGACTGTTTTTAAGTGCACTGCGCGAACAACTAATTTTCATCTGAATGTGCATAAATTGCATGGTCTTCGTGTCATCACATGGCAGATATGGTGTTCAAGTATCTGTCCCCTTACTCTACCGTACCTACGTCGACGTTGAGGGACTACTAACACACAATCCAAAGACAACCATCCAAACAATGGAATCTATGCCTGAAAACCCTTTCACCACATTTAAGTTTCCATTTCCAGCACCTGAGAGCAAGAGTAGACACAGATCCTACTCCTTTATCCATAGCTCCAACAAATCTCTAACAACAGTCACTATATATCGTTTACAACTTTGATTACAAGTTTGTAAACATTTTCTAATAAGAGTTCTCCGGTTTCAAGTCAAGTCCTGTTTGTTGATTTTTTTTTTCTTTTTTAAATGTGGACATCTAGACGTCAGGGGTCTTTTAAAATGATGTCAACGGATGCCAACATATCTCAGTAAGTTTCCACTTACTGACAAACTCAGCTTGCCATATTGTTACCGCTGCGTTGGTCTGTTTATCTTGGCTATCAACTGGCGGTGTCACGCGGACCCCCTGATGAAAGCACTGTGGAGGAAGCTTCCAGTTACACGCATCAATGTCCACCAAAGCCTACGCTTACATTTAAAGTTCACAAATTGGCTAGAAACCAAAAGAGATTTGATCATTTTTAAAACACAATCTCTACCTGGAGACGAGCAATCTTGCCTCACACATACCTCTTAGTGTACATAATGTTAAAGACAGCGAAAGATTTAGAGTAAAAAAAATGTTGTCTCGACAAAAGGACGACTGCCGGTGTTGCAAAATTACTTTTAGTGACATCTGTTAAGGCCCTCCTTTCTGATCTTAGAAAAACATTTGGAAAATACACCTGCTTCTTCTTATTCTGGATTGAAGTGTATGCAAAAATGATGCAATATATTATTTGAATACAAGAAATCATATGAAATGAATGTTTGTTTGTTTTTCCAGTTGATGCAGAAATTCTGGAGT